GTCTTCAACCAGTGCTTCATTGTCGACTTGTTGACCGGAACGAAGCTGTTGATGCTTCCACCACGAATCTTGATGGTGATCCACACTCCACGATAGTCACCTGAACCACACAGATCTTCAGAATTCGAATCCAAACATCCTGTCCCGGTTGCCATGCCGACGTGCAAGACTTACCAACTCATCCAAGTACCCCTCTATCAACTCTGACAGATTGACTCGGCAACCGAAAGGCTTGTCTGCATCGTGAGGTCGAGCAACAACTTGGGGACAAAACTTGCCAGCCCAAGTGTCAGTCTGTGAAGTTCCTGCACTGTCAACGCATTCACAAACCTCCCGCGGACAATCGGCTCAAGTCTTGCCTCGGCTTGTGTGCCATGGCCTTCTTGGGCGTCAAACTCTTTGGCGACTGAGCTTCTTGCTTCCAATGCGGTTCAACCCAACTCTTGTCAACCCATTTGTCATCGTCTTGCCACTTGTAGTCATGCCAATCTTCCCATTCCTTGTCAGCGTGCTCATATTTCCACTGGCCACGATGATCTGGACGAACGCTCTGCCAAGGTGCTGCACCAATCCGCCTTGCGGCTTTTCCTCCAATCGGCTTTTATGGTGCGCTGGGGCGCGATGGCAAGGTGAGGTGTCCACTCGATTGACGTGGGATGATCTTTGCCGGACTTCTCTTTGGCGATGGCGACCTTCTTCTGGTTCTCGAATTGCGTCGGCTGCGTGATCGATGGCGTCGGCCCCGACGCAGGGTCCTCGAATTGCTGCGGCTCCTCGAATGGCCTCCGCGCGGAGTACGTGACCTCTGCTTTGGCTTGAGTTCAACAGGTTCTGTCTTCTGAGACTGTGACTTGGACATGTGCTCAATGACATTGGCAAGCTTCTCAACAGTGGCTGTCAACTCTTGCAATTTGGCCACAATCATCTTCTGGATGACGTTCATGAATTCGAACAGTCGACGGTGAAGATTCTTCAGCCTGCTCATCTGTTGTATCCTGATTGCGCTGCGACATCTCAGTTCGAGACCTCTCGGAATGAGTAGATCCCTTGCTGTAGCTTGCAGCGCGAGGAATGACCTTCGAAGTAGATGGCCTTGGTGCCTCTTGCTCAGCAGGTGGAGGTGGCAATGGTGGTGCTCTCCTGGACGAAGTATGTCGCTCTACGGTCGTCTGCGCCCAGCCAAACCGCCTACACACTTCGAGGCCGGCGGGCACGTCCTGGCACTCGTTGCATGCTCCGCCTCACAACGCGTGCCACGCCAATGCTCAGAAGAGTGATGAACTAGCGTCACACTAAATCCAAGATCAACTGCCATAAAGCCGACAAGCATGATGCTCCTCCGGCTGATCTGCGGCGGCCACCGTTGCAACCAAACTCAATGGTACAACCACCATCTTTGGCGTACTTCTCGATGAACTGGCGTGCTTTCTCAAGATGAGCTTTCATGTCGTCAAGGGCTAGCAATGCTCCAAGGGTGCGAGGATGACTTCCAACATGTGCAGCTATGGACTTGTCTCTCGATGGATCGTACAGCTTTCGGAGATCGATCCTTAGCAGTGGCCTTCGGCCTACTGCACCCCGGTACAAAGGCTGTTTGCACCGGGCTCCTTTGCTCGCAATCCATACACTTATAATTGTGCAAGATCGATAGCGGTCTGCGCATCCTTGTGCTCGGATGGCCCGTGGCCAATGAACGTCTCTTCGTACTTGTTCATGGCATTTGCAGGGTCGGTACCCGACCCACGCTCTGGAGAAATCAATGCAACATTTCGAGCGATGTAGCAACAGCGAAACTTTCGATGACACTTCGGCACGCTCTGGAAATTCCCGGTGGCATCAATCAGTCCCCCAGTCAACGAAATCATCAAAAGACCTGTTTTGCTGCAACGAAAGGTGGGAAGCTGGCGACCTTCAAAATGAATGGCGCCTTTTGCCAAGTCCTTCACTAGGCCTAAGTGGGACTGTGCATGAAGTGACAACAGCATCGGCAATCGACCCTCTTGGAGCTGATGGGATATTCAAGGATTCCTCGGATGGGACCTTGGTTGTCTTGCGTGTTCAACGAAAATGGCAAAACCCTGCAACCTTGGGTCTTGTGGCAGGTGCTATTGCAACCCTCGTCCAAAATAATGGCGTAGATGTTGGGGCCACTCTCGCGCCACATGTCTCTGGTTTCTTGTTGGGGTTATACCAAAACATTGCTCATGCTCGACGAATGCACTTCCGAATGGAACACGAATGCACTGGTCTCGACGGCAGCGTAACCTCTGTGTTCGGGGTCCCGAAGGCCCCAGGCAATCTCATCACCGATTGGGTCCTGCTCCAACATGATCTGGTCTTGGAATGCGGCTTCTTGCAGTAGTTCATGAAGTCGAGTCTGAGTCAGGGTGTCAGGCGACGACGGGCATTCCGACTCACCAGACCGCTAAAATTGCCAAAGATTCTACCTACCGTTTCTGGGGTCCAAACATCGTGATCATCTCCAGTGATGGCTTCAACGAGGCTAACCTTGTCTTGGGTCGTTGTCCCAACAGCTTTCGCCAAGGCAACTCGCTCACGGCGTAGTTCCATTGGCAGTTCATCAATGAACGAACAACATTGCTTGCGCCACGCACGATGAGTCGAACGGCTTGATCCCCTGTTATCGGTGGATTCATGCGGACAATCTTCAGGCTTGTATTGGGGTTTCTCTTCCCTTTTCTCGGTGGATGAATGCCCACAACGCAAACACGTGCGACGAAACGTGTGCCCCGTGCTCCCTCGGAACGAAAACTACTGGCAGTTCTGGCACTTGTTGGGCAATGGCGGGTAAGGCGGCGTCGCCTCTGCCGTGCCTTTCTTGGTGCTACCGGGCAACGCAGGGGGAGGTTGAACAGGTTCATCACGAAGGTAAATCTCTCCACCCTTGAGCTCAAAGAAATGGTCAACCCATTGCACATACTGCTGGATTCCGGGAACACGAGAATCTTCCTTCTTTGCAAGCCCATACATAGAATTGGGGTTGTCGATGTAGAACATCCCAATAGGTCTTCCCCTTGAACTGTCCAATCTGAAACACATTGTCAAATCCCATGGGGCGCTCGACCGACGATGGAGTAGGTGCCTGAGTCGGACGATGTGGCATCGTTTGCGCGAACCATGGGCGACTGTGCCTGCGACGGACGGGGGCGTGAACCCTTGCCGGATGCTCCTGATCGAAATGCCTTCATGGCGGCATTGGTCTGTTCTGCAGATGTGGCTGCACCTACATAAACAAACCCTTCATCATCTGATGATTCACTCCCATAGGCTAGGTTGGCAGTAGGCTTCGGGGGTTGTGGCTTGTTTGCAAACTTGCAACCAGGATCACCTGCCCAATGCCTCCGCAACGAAGACACTTTGACTTGGACTTCAATTCACCAACCTTGGCGCGACGTTGCTCAATGCTCATCTGGCTACGGACAACCTTGCCTTTGCCTTTACCCTTGAAACCTTTCTTGCCAAAACCTTTACCTTTGCCTTTGGCCTTGCCGAATGCATTGAATGCAGCGAGCTGAAGCTAGATAGCTTCTCCTGCTTGACGATCGTCGGCCTCTTCGAGGTCCAACATAGCGTTCAAGGCAATTGCTTCTTCTTCGTCTTCAAGATAATCGAACTCTTGCTCCTGCGCTTCCTCCTCTTCATCAAATCCCTCTCCCAACCAGGCGTGGGAGTCGCCTTCATCGAAGTTGGCCTCATTTAAATGTTTCTTCCATGGTTTCCCATGTTGACGACGAATGCTCATCCACTTCAGGGTATGAGACATATGCAGAACGAAATGATTTGCCTTTTCCTGAATGGGCCTTGTGAAGAGCGGCTTTGCCATGTCTCGCCACCTTCCCTGAGGTGTACTCCTGAGTAATGGTCAATGAGAACCTTGCAATATCCTTCGAAGTTCTTGGGGACGGCGCGTGCTTTGGTCACAAGGATCCCTGACGTGACAAACCAGACAATTCGAGCAACAGTTCGGCGCGAAGACTGTTACTCAGCATCATGGTCGAATCCAATTCCTGCAGCGCGGACCACCAACGCTTGCGTCGATTGGTGTACGACAGCATGGACTCTCCAGCTTGGCGTGACAAAGGGCCTCCATGCTTCTGGCCAGCACGGAACAACTCCTTCGCCTCCTCATTGGCACGTGGGAATACGAACGCTTTCATCTTTTGCAATAAGTCTTCCAATCCTTCCTCACTGGTCAGGGCATCAAGACCGACGTCCCTGGCGAGCAAAAAGGCATCTCCACGCAAACCTTCGAGGATCTTGTTCACAAGTGTGCTGATGTCCCGCTTGGTGATGACCACTTCTTCTTCTTCTTCTTCTTCTTTCTTCTTGCTCATCTTCTGGTTCGACAGGGGAAACCTGGGAGCTCAGCGTCCTCCTCAGTACCTCCATTGGGCATATCGCCCTCTTTGGTGTTGCCGACGGGGTGCTTTTCCGGGTTAACCTTCCTTCCACAAGCGAATGCGAAGGCGAGTGCGAAACTCCCAATCATGGAATGATGCGGAATCTCCATAGTAGATGTACGAGCCAGATTTGGTCTCCAAATGAATACCGCCTGCTGAATTCTTGTGATGATTAAAGCGAAGTCCTGCGACCGACATTTCCTGTCTGTCAGGCCTCAACGGGCAATTTCAAGAACACTTGGTTGCAAATTCTTGGCGCGAATGCACGAGCGAATCCTGGATCGGCGGATTTACGGGTGTATGGATGCAGTGGGACGGGACCCGAACCTGCTCTATACCAATATGAAATAGGTCCCGACCGCGACGTCCAACGGCGTTTTCACGTCGCATAAGCGCGGTAAGCTCAAGGGCCCTGTAAACCCAAATGGCAGCAGAATGTACCATGGGCAGAAGAACTCGGCTGTACACAACATACCAACAACAGGGTAAATTCACAATATTATTTATGATCACATTGTTTCCGAAACAGGTGAACAAAAAACGGCAAGTTGTTTGGGAGGTCTAAATCCTCCAAGTGGCCCTTCACTGGGGTCTTGGGTGCCACAGGATCCTTCGGCTGCCAGACCTGAGCCGATCGGCACGGATCGCCCGTGATCCCCTCTGCCGATAGACTTCGATAGACCATACGCGCTTTGAATCAAGCTTGGACAAATGAGTGCATCTGACAAATATCGGCATTTGGTGGCCCTCTACCATGTGCGCCCGACCAACCCCGACCTATCGTTGCAGGATCCAAGAGCTGTCCGAATGTGAGGGCACGCTTTGTGGTCGCTTTTGATACGGCCCACTAAAAAGGTCTCCTTGAAATGCTGCATCTTCCGATAGCCCACCAATCCTTTCACGCAGCCAAAATTGAGAGCGCTGACCATATTGAGAACCTTTGATTCGATAGTGGAACTCGTGACGACACCTCCCAGACATTGTTTATTGCTTTTGACCAATTAAAAACTCAATCAGGAAACCAACAGGCCCTGCATGCATCCTCAGACATGGACAATCTCTTCGGTGAATCATCCAGCTTTGATGGACTTCGAAATTCCCAAAGTAGCTGCATCACTCCAAGGCATCTGCCGCCCGGTTTTGAGTGGCAGGAGATGGACCGTAATCCCTAAAGGTCGAAAAGCGTTCATCGATGGGTGTACTGCTCTCTTGCTCTCGTCTTTGAGCTCAGGACGCCCTTGCCACCTCCTGTCGAGATCGGCTTGGTGGGTCACCAACTTTTTCAAAGGCATAGCTGCTAGCTTGATTAGTTGTGGGATCATGCCGGCGAATTTGGGAAACTTGACAATCTATACACAGGATTGGCTCCGCTAATCTGGCCTAGGCGACATGGTATGAGTGAAGGGTCACACACACAAACAAGGTTTCACGCCCTTTCGGGCCGCCCTTATTTGCATGAACAGGCCCCAGACGAAATGCAGATTTTGTGCTGTGGCATTCCCACCAAAAATGTACTCGGATCTTTGTTCCAGCTTTCAACCATTTCGCTCTTTGTGGCGGTGTGTTCAGTGGTAAACTAGTCCACAGCCTGGGGTTCACCAATCCTTTGGATCGGTTCTTGCTTTGCAACGGGATGAATCTCTTCATCTGCGAGCACAGCCGTTCAAGCAAAGATCATCACTTTCTTCAACAAACCAAAGGAACAAACGTCGCTCCCACCCCATTTGTTTGCTTTTGCCTGCGGCTTACTACTAACCCTGTATGGTCTCACCTCTCATGTGTACACATGACTGGCAGCCCGGAAAAGCCGCTTGCTTTCATGCGCGCCGCTGCACTTGACTTGCTTTCCATGCGTTGTGTGTTGGACCACTCTCGAGACACTGTTCTTTCCAAGGGAACTCCACTGCATTGCACTCCGTGTCAATAGCGGTGCGGAGCCTGCTCGTGATTTCCACGTCAGGCGACGATGCTACGGACACGCCTAGGTCAAGCGCCGACCAATCTGCTATGATGGCAGCAATGCTTCGTCTCGTGAGGAGTCGATGACCTTGCGTATGAAAGCCAAATGGTCGTGCTGTTTGTTCCGCTACGAAGCCGTTGATGATTGGTTTGCAAAAGCCAGTAAAGACCAGATCGACCGGTGATGCCACAATCTTCAGAGAGCTTCTTGACAATGATCGTCTTAGGGATCCTGACAAAGGAGTTAACTACTTCCTGCAGATGATGAGACCCCATTTCGTAAAAGGACCACAGAACGTTTTCCTCTACCGCGTCCTGAAATTCTTCAAACACGGCAGGGGTCATCAAGAGTTCGTGACATTCATCAGCAAATTCGAAATCCTCCTACGCCGGCTGCCAGCTTCGTGGATGGACACTATGCCCGCGCCCGAACTGACTCAGGAGTTGCACGACAACCTTGCCGATTACAACCGCGTCGGCAAGGATAGAGCCCGCGCTGTTCACGCTCATTGGATGGCCGAATGCAACACCGCAGCTGTGGCAGGTAGGCCACCGCCTGAAAGACCGCCCGAATCCTACTGGACTGATAGGATCCATGAAAGTCAAGACATTTTGGATAAGTGGCTTAAGATCTGTCAGGATAGGCGCATGGTCTTGCTTCCATTTAACCGACAATTTCATTGTGCTGTGCTTTATCATCCAGTCAGAGCAATGTGAACGGTTAACTAGCGAGCTTCAGAGCAAGGGAATTCTGATTCATTTGTATGATCCAAAAAACAGAAGTATTACGATCTCTTCATCGTGTCCCGAGCGGCAATCCAAGATCCAAACATTCGACCGCGCAACGAGCAGCGTTTGTTTTGCATTGTGGACCAGGGAGAAAGTATAAAGGAAAAAATGGTTCTTGGGTCGTAGACGATGAAGACAGAGGGCAAGGTTTCATGCCTTTAGTAACTTTAGATGATGAAGAAGTGAAGAAGCCTTTTGGGCAATTGATGAACATGAAGTGTTGCCCTCCGTAGGGTCCCCACATGGCAGAAAAGGCCGAGGCAAGGGCAAGAGGAGAAGAGGTGCATTTAGGCCCTACGCTGGATCTAAAACCAAGAAGAGCGGCGGTAAGGCCAATATGGCCGAAGATGAACAAGAACTAGATCAGTCTTACTGGGGAAGGGCAAAGGCAAACCCAAGGGTAAGAAAGGAAGCAAATTGCAATCCAAAGGAAGGTTCAAGTTTGGTAAGGAAAACGGAGGGCAACCAAGACTTTCCAAGGATCTGATGATCAAGGCGCCTCAAGCTCCAAGCCGACCTCGAGCGAAGCCAATTCGCCTCAAGACCCTTCCATGGATGACTGGTCCTGGTCAGACGAAGCATATTGGACATGGGATACCTGGTATGGTTTCCCTGAATGGTCGTCGTATGATTGTAGCTGGTATCTTACCGTAGATGCCCCCAGTCAGCAACCAAGGATGGCCTTAAGATTGCGCAGCCGTACGCAATGCGCCCTTCTCGACTTCTCGAGCCTGTCAAGTCCCCAACTCATGTCTAAATCCAGCGATCGTTCTTAGGACCTTAGGGTGTCCTCCTAAGATATGCTGCTTGTCTAAATCATCAGGATCGACAGCTTCAGGTCCTTAGACGATGTCAACTTTGGAGAAATGGCAGCAGGTTTCGCAGCAAGGGCGCTATTCAAGCTCCATGGCGCGTCTGTGTCTTCGGCTGCTGAAAAGTTTTATCCTGTCTCACAAAGGAGGTCAGGTCCAGAATGGCATATCCCGAGCGGGCCATAGGCACAAGGGCGCGCTTCAATCCAAACGATGAACATGTCATAATATAGTCACCTTCATTGGTGTGCTCCATGGTGACACTCAATTCCTCATCTGCTCAACGCTGAACAACGCGACCTTGATCGAGGATGTCAACAATAAGTGCAACTCGGTGGCGGCGTTCGAAGCTGAATTGCTAGCTTATACTCGGCCATTCCGCTTGTCCATTGGCAAATGTGAAGGTGGTATCACACGGACAAATCTCTCAACAGCATACCAGGATCTCGTAATATTTTGGTTCGTGGGCGCAATACTGCCCGCAAGTCCTTGTATGTCCCAACTAAGTCAACATGTCCAGTCCCGTTGAATCATGTGTCTCCTGAACGCAAGACCGAGTTCCACCTTGAAACTGGTGAGCCAGATCTTATTGAAGACCGATGGACTGATAAGAACGTAACTCTTATTGAGAAACCATGGACAGGTCACGCGCAGTTCCTCATCGATAGTGCACCAAAGACCAGCGCGCCAAGCTTGGATCGACCTGTTCCTTCGTCGTCATCGTCTGCAAGCAAGAAAGCAGTTGACAGACCGTCACGTGACTTGCCGGTCGCTGTGCCTGACGACTCTCAGGACACAAAAGAGCCCAAGGATGGTGATCCACTCATCGATCCTCCCCCGACATTACCGATAGCTCTGGCCAGAATCCACAAACATTTGCCCAAAAAGAGAGAACTTCTAAAGTTGCATATGAAACATCATCATATGAGCTATGAACAGCTCAGACACCGAACGCATTCGCTTCGCCTACCAAATGAAACCTATGAACTTTAAAGTCAATCGTCGAAGAGTGTGAGACATGTCGAGAGATAACCTTCATGGATCACTGTGAGATCTCAACGCCGTCAGGAGAGCGCATTATCATCTTGACCATCCTGGATGGAGCAACAACGCTGCTGACTGCGTAGGCCTTTCCTGTTTATGTTGACCAGTTTAATTGTTGTTGCCGACCAAGCATTTATGACGAAAGAATCTGCCAGATTCCCAACATTGTCCAGTCAGTCTTGGTCCAATGAGACCTTGGCTGAGACAGCCAATCGTTTGTTCAAGAATCAAGTTAAGGTCATGTTACAGTCCGCACCTGCGTCCTTGCGTGCAGTGTCTTATCGTGAGCTTCTTCGTGAAGCTTCCCTGCGCGCAAAATGTCCCTAACCTATCGGCGCAGCAGTGCGTAAGTATGGTCTAGAGCCAACGCAAGCTGATCGACGCACATATGTCTATTATGGTCAATGTCCGCCAACGTCCGTCCCAATCATGGCTTCGCACGGAGATGAAGTCCCAAGCTCTAGGTAAGGTTTATGAAAGCGCCGTCGAGTACCTGTTAGACCCTGTGGCATATAACAATGCTCAAGGCCGCACTGTCCATGGAACCATGGCTTCATGGCGATGATTTGTTTATGGCTGGAGATTCCAAGCTTGAGAATGAAGTTTTGATGAACATCCGAAAGGGCTTTCAAGCCGGATCTGAAGATAAGAATGATATTCTTTTTGTAGGTCAACGATTACTATGGTATAAGGATGAGAAATATGGCTCATAGATTGATGTTGCTCAGACTATCGCCGTTGAAGAATTATCAGAAATAGAGCTCGACCGCAACATGCCTGATGAAACACCGTGCGCGCCACAGCTACATACCGCGTATCATAGTGTGCTTGGATAGGCCAATTGGTTACAATCACGAACGCGATTCCACGTGTGTTACAAGTTCTCACGCTGTGCATCGCGTGCCGCAAGTCCAACAATTGGTGACATCAAGGCGCTCAACAAAGTAGTAAGAACGATTCGCGCCCACTCATTGACGATGCGTTTTTGGCCGCTCAAGGGACCGTGTAGGATCCTTGGTTTTCCTGCCGCCTCTTACCGCAACAGCAACCCCGCGAGCGCGCGCAATCTTTCTCGCAGAGCCTCGTGATCTTAAGAACGCGCACCGCAACACCAGAGGACCTTGATTGACTTTGAATCGCGGCAAGATAACAGCTACAACAATTAGCGCAACAGTTGCTGAGTTACATGGTCTCGCGCTGCTTTGGTTCATGTCAGTGTTTGTGTGGTTTGTGGGTTGACATTCTTGGAGAAGTTTCAGACATTCACTTAAGAACTGATGCAAACAATTTTACTACTCATCAACCAGAACAGAAGGAAACGATGCGTTCGATTCTCATGTTACGATAGGAACCCACTTCTCAGGTCAGATGCAGGATTTGAATCATGTAGGATCCGAATACTGTCTAGCCGGCTGTTTGACAAAGCATTCTGCAGCGCCTGAATGATGAGTTGATCAACGCCGTAGCAACTGGCTCACTTACGTACAACGACATGTGCTACATGCAGGACCATCCAGAGACCGTGGCATGCATTTCGTGTCCTACCATTAGTGGAATCAGCGTGACCGAAACAGCAATGTCAATCAGACCATTGCAACCATGTCTCGTACCATCTATTCGCTTCAGCTTACGTCCGGATCTTCGACAAGTATATGAACGTTGACAAGCTTTCGTCAGATCTAACTGCTACGATCCCGGGCCAAGTCGCCCGAACTGTTGCGCTATCAATGAGGCTGGCGTCTGCCCTGAGACACAGCCGTGATGTACGACGCGTGACACAGCTAAAGACCCTCATCTCTGGTGACCCATATTGGCTCCGATCTACGCCGTCTTTCACAACTCCAAAGAGCATGACCAACGCTGTCTTTAAGCAAAACTAGGTCCAGTGAGCTTGACAGAGCGCGAGTCTATGCACTCTTCGATAGGACCAAACATTTCCTTGGGCGTCCAGCGTTTAAGACATATTTCGATACGCTGATCAAGCGTCGTCGTATCCCGCTTCCTGACGGTGGCGTCATGCCTGACGCTCGTAGGCCGGTCGAAACCATTCCAAGTTTCCACCGAGCTTTTGCCATCGCACAGTACGAACTTTATGCAGTTGATCGATGAGCCTATACTCCTCACAATGAAATGATTGTTTCTGTGATTAACATCCAGCAGTCCGACCACAGAATCATCTCCAAATGGACCGCCTAAGAGTAAGGACTCTGTCCCAGGTCCTTCAGGTCTTCCTGCGAAACAGGCGCCTATTGAGTCAACGCATCCTCCAAGTAAGCCATCAGAAGCTGCGCCTCCAAAGTTCAAGCCTGCTCCAGCAGTAATTGAGACCACAGTAAAGCGTAAGTCCATACCAAAGGAGTTCACTACGCCCGAGTCGCTTGGTGCCGTCAGTAAGCCTCAAGGTCAAGGTGGCCCAGAGCTTGACGCAAAAAGAACGCCAATTCAGCCTGCTGTCTTTGACAACAATTCTTTTGCGCCTCTTGCCGAAGTCCATAATAGCCTAGATGACAATGACGCAAGAGCTGAAGCAGAAGAACAGGATGATGGAAACTCAGGAAACTCAGATGGACGTGGTGTGCAGACTGAAGAAATGTCTTTGGTTTCTGTACGGGCCAGAGCCACATGCCATGCGGAAACTCAAACCTATGCAGATAACTTCGATGAGCTTGCGAGACTTAACGAGATCCTAGATGATCCTCCCAGTGAAGATGATGATCAAGATGAACAAGATCAACCTGATGATGATGATGATGATGATGATGATGGAGACCAAGGCCGAAGTAAGAAAGATCCTGAACCTGAACCAAAGAGCAAGGTAGATCAAGAAAAGAATGAGGCCGACAATGATGATGAAGTTGAACTTGCTAAAGAGGAAGAAGATGATGTCAAGCCCGGGGATGAAGGTTCAGTTAAGGGTGAGGAAATGGAAGAACCAACGCAAGAAGAAGATCCTTCACAAGAACGCAAGAGACCATATGACCATGCAAGCCAGGGGTTGAAATTCCCTATCCAATCGAGACTTCTGAGCGAAGCGCAAGACCGCGTAACAGTGAATCCTTTCCTGCTGACGAGTCCATGCCTGAAGCTCCACCACCACAATCGAGAGCATCCACGGCTCAGAGCACTATTATGACCGTTGGCGGCGATGTGCCTTCGAATCAGAGTCTTGGTATTGCCGACGACGTGTATGACATTCCACAGATCTCCATCAAGCCACCAGAACCAACCGATCCTATGTCCAACTCCTATGTCAAGTATGGAGCTTTTATCACCACACGCACGGGAGAACGTGCTCGATATGTTACAAGTTGCTACAATACTGCAACGATCTTTTTGCGCAGCCTTGGGCCGATACCAGTGTTTGCCTTGCCAGATCTCAAGACCATCTAGGCGTTGTGACTGTGGCACCCAGTACATCATTATTCGATGAAGCCTACAAACCGGAAGGAGAACATCAATTGCAACAAACCAGAGATATTAATGGTGAGAAAATTCTCAATGACCGTGCGTTGAAAAACCCAACAAGACCGACTGCTACTGGTTCACTGCTGTATGATCCTGTCTTTTTCGCGGTTGCCGCTGGACAGAACCCTCTTGCCGATCAAATATGTTTTCGCATTCAATAGGTCCGACGAGTTTGACTTGCCATGGTATATACCAGCACCCATCGCCCATCAACCTTTGAGAAACACACTCTCCGACCTGAGATTTGATCAGTACTGCAGGGAGAGCGGTGAATTAACAGCCGACTCTCTGAGACGTGTAGTCCACTCCTATCTGAAGGAGTTTGCCTCCAATTTGCTTTTGACCAATGGTATTCCAAGAGCGATCATCCATCAGAATCAGCCTTATCGTATGCACATGTCAGGAAATTCTTTGAACCCAGGTCACTTCCATGGAACACACAAACTCCCAAGAACAGCCAATGGCATTGAGTACCGTCAGACCAAGAGCAGGGATGATGATCTGGACCCAGTTTTCCACAAGCTCATTTATCAGATTCATGTTCATTATGAAGCCGATACACTGACCGATGAGATGATTGAGAACGTTCAAGCCCATGGCTTTGTTGGCATGCGATTCAAGAACAAAGGAGCTCTTGCCATGGCATGTTTCGTGTATGGTGCTCCTGAGCTGGTTTCGGTTGAGCTTTGTTACACTGATTTCCGACGTCTGACTGATATGGAAACATGGATCAGTACCGGTGCTGTTTTTCGCGTCATTTTTAGAAACAAGTTAGCAAGGTCTTTTCTCCTCCAACCGATTTCAACAAGGCAAGTTTGAGAACATCTGGTCCTATGACCAAGCAGGGAGTGCCGGAGTTAATGAATATTTCGAGGCACTTCCACCTGATTCCACCTGGACAGCAAGAACATGATGACCGGCCACCTCGAACCTTTCGCCAATGGATTTATACCGGTCGTCTCCTTCGCATCACCATCTAGATCGTTGCCGAAGAAAGAAAGAACCTGTTTCCAGAATTTTCGGCTGATATCCTGGGAGATAAGAACGGGTTCGTCGACTTGAAGGTCAATGCAACAATGAAAAGTGCCCCCAAATGGGACTCAGAGACCGATTTGAGAGATAAGACACCGATGGCCTATACTAAGGTTTTGCCTCTTGTTTGTCCCGTTGATTCGCAATTGCTTATCCATGCATGTGGATTAACCTGATCGTTGATGGCAACCTAGCAGTGAACCGATGTTACGATGAACAACCAACCATGGGAATCCGCTGTGGTTTGATCCACCACTACCTTTGTTCCTTATCATCGACAGCAATGAGCACTTTGATCGAAATGAATGTTCACACCTTAGGGTCAACGCTTCTATTCACTCAACAACTCCTGCCATCTTTGAGGCCAAATGGTTCGATCAACAAGACAAGTACTGTCAGCGAAACCGCCGTTACAAGACCGATCAGTATTTTGATGGGTGTCAACCGAGTGAGTCTGATTCGATTTTTGGTGGAGTCGTCAGTTGGGTAAAATGATCTGGTCACCAACACACAGCATGTCTTAAGTACACCAATCGTGAAGGCAGTTCGTCCGATACTACTGAACGAAAATCCTGATCTTTGATCCTGCACTTGATGATCGTGTTGAGTTCGATGCCCACAAGGGAGCTGAACGACCGGGGCCAAAGAGACCATACCCAGTCACATCCAACGATCGTTTCAAGTACCTGCCACATGAAGCACTTCTGATTGGTCCGAATGATCAGAGCTGGCGCCGCCCACTTCAAGTTACGAGCCAACATAAGCAATCTGCAGCTGGGAGCAGCCATGATTTTTGAACTTGAAGATCTATATCTGGTGCCTTATGATCAGAATTTCTTGAAGAACTTGATTCCAATGCCTTCAATGCATTCGATGCTTTCGGTCTCATTTCATTTAGGATCTGTACATATTTGAACTCCTGTACTGTGGCATTGACTTCAATAAGAACTCTTGGAAAAGACAAAGAAAAGTTCATTAAGAACGACCTCAGTCGTCAAGATATCGAGGCCAATTTCATGCACAGGGGTTAGGAAAACCGTATCTGTTTTGTGTTTGCTTTTGCTTACTGCTAACCCCTGTATGGTCTCACCTCCCATGTGTGTACATGACTGACATATTATTTGGCTCAAGCCTGGAAAAGCCGCTTGCTTTCACACACGTCGCTGCACTTGACTTGCTTTCCGTGCGTTGTCCGTTGGACCACTCTTGAGACAATGTTCTGTCCAAGGGAACTCCACTGCATTGCACTTCGTGCCCCCCCCGCACATGTGAGTGAACGTAAACATGTTGGTGAACAACCATAAAGTCAACATAAAACGACTAAACGCCTCCCAGGGGCCGGTATGGAATGAAAAAAGCATGCGATTAAGCAGGGTTCCCTTTTTGAATTCACGGACTTGTTTGGACGATTGACGAAGATTGTAATCTGCGAGCCGGAGCGCAACCACCAATCTGCAGTCCACGGTGTGACCCAAAGTTGAGGGGCGAGCGGCAACCCTTTAGGATGACAGCAGTTTTTCGCTTCGCTTTACATCGCCAGATGCCCCAACAGCTAGACCGCTAGACTCGCTAGACTGCTATCCATAGGCGCCTCTCTTGCTGCTAGACTCGGACTAATTTGTCCTAAAACTGACCCCAACTGGTTCTGCTCCATTCTGTGACCCTCGACCTGGAGAACGGGGCCAATGACGCGGCGCAATGCGTGGGGCCCAAGCCTGGTGAACGGTCACTTTGAGATCGTGACCACAGACGGAGAAGCAGTCAAAGAAACGTGTCAATTCTGGATGCCCCAGGAACTACCTTGGTCATGACGCATGTATCTTTTTTTGAAGGGGAACCATGACTGTAAAATGGCACGCTGCTAGGAACAAGGATGCTACTAGGGGCTCCTCCTTCTGCGCGGACCGTGTGTCGGACCTCCTTCTGGGGCGTCTCCTTCTTCGGCGGCTCCTTGGACTCCTTGGACTCCTGCGCGGAAAAATGCATGACGCTTGCGTGGCTTCTTTTGACCGGTATGAAGTCCATATATGCTTCCATATGCTTTGTAGCTGAAGGTAAATTCCAATTCTTCCGAGCTTGTTCCAAGCTTGTCTCACAAGCTCATCGCGCTCTCCATCGAACCGGACGCTTCCTCAGAAGGCGTCTGTGGTGCCGGTGTCGTGGTAGAGGCTGGAGTGGGCGGGGCCTGCGGGGCCTGGCAACTCAATTTGGTAACGTGGAAAGGGAACCTGGCGGCCTCCAACCGCTTTCCGATCTTGGTCTAAGCCTACTTCAGCCTTGACTGTGTCACTGGGACCCTCGCAAGGCTTTGACGAAGCTGGTTCCTGAACAAGGGACTTATCCTTTTTCTACTGGTCCGCAGAGTGTTATACAATTTTATACAGTCGTTTGAATGATTGTGGGATTTTTTGTCAATGTAGGAATGAACGAGCGTCTGGTCAGTATGACTAGCCCTCCGTCTAGCCCATCAGCATTTTCACAGCCCGGCTGTGCGGTGTGGGTTCTTGCGAAAGGATGGTTGTCAACTGCAAGAACCATCTGAGGTTAAAAAATCTTTCATTGGAGAGAGCGTGTGTTCAAAATTAAAAAAGGTCAAAAAGTCAAAAAAAGGTCAATCCCAAAAGTCAAAGCCAAAAGCAATCAAAGCAGAAAGTTTCAGAAAGTCAAAAAACGTCAATTTGCACAGATCCAGCTTTTTTCTATTTTTTTAAAATACTTTTTTGCATTTTTGATGTTTGCGAGTGGTTGACTTTTTTTTAAACTTTTTCGAGTTGTTTTTCTGATTTGGACATTTTATTACTATCGACTTTTTGACTTTTTTTTTTGGACTTGTTTTGACTTTTTCGAGCTGTGGTCTACGTTTGACTTTTTGTTTTGACTTTTCAATTTGATTTTTTGGACTTTGACTTTTCCATTTGACTTTTATGATTTTTTAAATCAAAGATTCTGGCCTTACCATATGAAAGATTCTTTTAAATCTAAGGCGAGACAGTCTAATGTGACCTAATCACCCATCGGAGCAACCTTGGAGAAGGTATCAACATGCCCGCTCAAACCCTGCCCCTTTTCGTTGTAAATGACCCACCTGCGAGCACCAATCATCACAAGCGAAGCCCCTGGCCCTTTATCGATGGCTAAACGCATGGCGTCTGTTCTCACCTCCCAAACGTTTGCCGTTTCGAGATGTTTTCATGTCAACACCAGGGAAACCAACACATGTTAGGTCTCAAACGCATGGTCACGTCCAAAATGTGTTGTCTTCTTGAATCACACACTCTCTCTCTCTCACACACACACGCGCACACACACACACACTTAGACAATGGGATTGCAGTTAACTCAAACCCAACGAAAAATGGACGCAAACGGCAAGGCGGCTGGGTCAGTGGAAGTGAAGGTGTTTAACAAAAAGGTTTGCGTGACTGCGGACCCTGGTTACTGAATACGTAGCGAGCGAAAAATGGACGCAAACGGCAAGGCGGCTGGGTCAGTGGAATTGAAGGTGTTTAACAAAGTTTGTATGACAGCGCGCGTTAGTTACTGAATATGTAGCGAGGGAAACCTGTTTTGGGATCTATCATGAGAACGACCATGGAAGCAAACCAAGAAAGTAGACAGTGTGAACAACAGTTGTTTTGCAGGTACACACCAAGGCGTCCCTTGGTGCTTCCCCTGTCACATCCCAGCTTCGTTGGGCCAGGTCGGATGTGACAGGCCTGGCCCCCCTGCGTGAAACAACAAAAACTCCTTGGGACGGAGCGTGACACACACTTGAGATATTGTGACGGAACTGAATGCGGTGCCACACGCCAGCCTAAGAGACCCAAATCCTGAAATGTCCAGGAAAGTCCTAAAGAACCTGGAGGTCTGTAAGAAGAAGTGAGGCCAAAAGCTCAAGGTCGAAGACGGCGAACGAGTCGAACAGGGTGACGGCGGCTCGTGCACATCTGCAGAAAGTGAACCAAGTCCCTAAGCAACACCGTGTCGTGAGGTTCTTGGCTTAGCCTCTTGCCATTCGGAAAAGGAAAATGGCAGGTACGTTCCCGAGGCGTCCCTCAGGAATATCACATCCGATCAGCAGTGTCTTTGTTAGGCAGTGACTGCTGAAAGGACCACTGCCCCCCTGCAAAGACAAAAGTTAAAGCCTCCCTATGAGCATTGACGGCAATCGCCAGCGAAAAACTAAAACAAAAATGCAACAGCATCCCTATGACTCCAAGGGGTACACACACACACGCACACACACACACACACACGCAAACACACAGCATATGGCCAGCGAAACATGTGCCTTCTCAGCGGGCTTCTCCTTCAAACAAAGCTGCTGGACAGACGGATCTTTGGTTTCAAATCACATGACGTGGGCAAGTCGGGTGCATGTCACACAGTTCCAAAATACAAAACCGGCAAACTAGATCGTGCGTGGTGGTTGTTGTGGTTGATTCCATCACCGAGAGAGCATTTCTTCCAACTTGGTAGACGAAACGCATCCGACTTACTGGATGCAACTTCCCAGGTTTGGGCCATCTAAGCAACCAACAGCGATCTCATTTGGCTCAAATCCGGCCATCCGCAGAACCACGCACTCCTCGTTCTCATCAGCCCAAGATCGCACCTGGAAAATGATGAAAGACCTTTCTTCCTAAACTACTTGAGATACGATGCTTTGGACCAGGGACCCGCCTCAGACTTTTCTGTGCAACTTGGATGGATGGAGCTGCACACAAGGTGCCATTTTGATACCACCATAGCACCAACCGGTAGTACACACAAGTTTGGTGCTAAGTTGATTCTTTAGAAGCTGGAGGGGCAAAGTGAGTTGCTAGTCTGCACCCCTGAGCAACCCAAACATTCATCAAAAAATTGCTAACCAACAACAACCAGCCCCTCTTCATTGAATGGGCACCATTTTCTTGCCGCAAAAGGAAACACGTTCCATCGCCGGAAAAGAAAAACGCTTCCCGCCACTCTGTGCGCCCTGTCACTTGCGTCTCTCTCGCCTTGTTGCAGCTCTCCTTCAGTGGCTTTGGCCTGGCTTTCGCGAGGTGCAAACTCTCTCTCTCTCTTCCCAAAAAACTAGAAAGAAACACATGTCTTTTCTTTCGACCTCTCCACCTCCGGAGCGGACCGCGTCTGCTTCCGAGCGGCTCTGTCGAGCTGGCCACACCGGCCGCGGGGGTGGTCACAGCTGTGGAGACCTCGAAAGTCTGAAAGGTCTGAAAGGTGTGAAGTCGAAACAAACATACTTTGGACTTGGGAGCACTGGTGAACTCAAACTGTGACTGAAACTTCTAACACACCTATCCTATTGATTTTCAATATCCAATCTTGTGGCACCAAAGACAGGAACATTGACCAAGCAATGACTCAAGGTGAAGTGATCTTCTTTCGAGAAAAACGGGTTCGAGTCTTCGACGGATTCTTCTTTCGACAGGAGCCCCGTTCGTAGCTTCTTGTTCCTAGTAGCGATGCCAGGAGCCCCTAGTAGTGTGGCCCTTTGCTCCTAGTAGGTTTTAAACAGTCCCATGTTTTGCGCAGGGCATGGAAACAGTTGCGAATTGAAGTGTTGAGATATGGTGGTGCCACTGGATGTACTATGTAATACCCAACCTCAACATGTTGAAAACAACTTTTGCTTGAATCAACACTTGAGCAACATCATGGAACATCAGAACAAGCAGCATAGAAAGATCACAAATATATATATATATATGTCATCGTGTCACAGCATAGTCTCACAGTTGGAATCCCCACCTCAACCGACCTGAACCAATCTTAACCGACCTCAACCCGCCTCGGATGGACGATCGGCCTGGCAGGTGCTGAAGTTGCACGTCTAGGATCGAACCCGAAAAAGCAAGGAGGCAAGGAGGTGGTAAACACCCGTGGAACGCGAACAACGAAGCCTTGGCATTCATTAAACTATGAGAACAGCTCTGACACATAACACATCTTTGGATCATTGGTGCAACTTGTTTGGCACTCGATGCCTCGGGGCTTCCCTGTCGTTGCAACAAAGCCACCCAGGCGCGCTGCTGAGCCAAGACCTGCCGTGCGGCGTGACAAAGCCACCCGTGTGAGCCGTGTGAGCATCCGTGAGCGTCAAAAAGGGTCGAAGTTTGGAGTTCATTTGTGCCGGACTCCAAACTGATCAGGACAGACTGTAAAGTGGTAACTTCATTTCAGTCAGCCAGAAGGCAGTGATTTTTTGAAGAGGACCAAAGAAAGGTTGTTTTCATGATGTTTTACGATGTTTTACGATGTTTTTGCTGTTTCCTTTTTGTTTCACAGCTTCAACTACCCACGCCTCTTCCGCTGCCTGACGACGCTCCTGAAAGCAAGTTCCCAACAATGGAGTTCATGGGGCAAAACCCGTGGCTTTCGGTGGCACGGTCTGCTGCTTTAGCAATTCTCCTGCTTCGTGTGCGTAGGCGAAGCCGGCTTCTGCGGGGCCCTGGGCTGTCGGACATCTGGCAATACACACTAGACAGCGCGAACTAGCAATGCACTTGTTCCGAATAGCTTCTTGTTACTACTAGTAAGGCACCTGTTACTACTAGCGTGGCACTTGTTACTACTTTCATGGACTTCTGGTGTTTCAGGTTTCTCCCAAACTGGCGATGCTTCGGTGAAAGCTTTGGGACCCAGCGTTCGCTTCGCTGCTTGCGCTTGCGGCATTTGCGCTTGTTGCCTCAGCGCTCTGCTCCCCAACGGCATATATGCTGACAAGTTGCAAGAAAGACATAACACAACAATTTTTAAGGTGCAGAAAAAGATTGATTCTAGAGATTTCTGTTTTCAACCACTTCATGCTACGTTTATGTCTAGGTCCTTATCTCGAACATACACATTGTATAAAGTTTATGGTACATATTCACTCCATTGTTCGACCCCCTTGAACATGTACAATTTCAAGGGGCCGACAATAGATCCAACAATGCTTGCCTTGCAAAATGCAACTAAGACATAACTAAGCCATGTATCAAAGGGCCCAAACATAGATTGACTATAGACATTTCTGTTACTCTCTCTCTCTCTCTCTTTTTTTCTCTCTCAGAGCCACTGGTGCGGGCGGTTGTTGTCCCGAAGCGACTTGAATATCTTCAAGGACGAAATGAAAGATACATAGGTATATAAAGACATTAAAGTTACAAAATATGCTGTTTTCACTGCTGCTTTCTATTTCTTTTGCACGGTATGAATTTATTTCCTCTCCAAGTGACTGAATCTGTGGCGGAACTGTTGGTGCCGCTGGCTGCTGTGCAGGCGGAATGGGTGGAGGCACCGAAGCAGGTGGTCGCTGCATCACCCCGGGCTGCATGTGTTGATAGGGATGCCTCGGCGTTCTTTCTTCAACTTCAATTCATTCTTTTTCTTTTGACCCTTTCCTCTGTCACTTTCATGGCGAACCCGCACCTCTGTTACCTCTGTTACTTTCCCGAACTGTAGCAAGGCGACATTGGCGGCTGCTGGAAGGGCTGTGTGTTCAAGACTTGCATCGGCGCATTGGAGAATTGTGCCGTCAAAGGGGCACGCCTTGGAGCCGCGGATCTTCTCAAATTCGTCTCAAGTTCTCAAGAGTTCAACTTTTCTCGTTAGTTCAGATCCTTACGCCCAGACACGGAGGCGGGTACATTGGCGGAGCTGGCTGTGGAGCGGGAGGGGCATATTGCATGGCCTCGGAACAAGAGCAACACAACGACAGCCCCAAAGTCACGCAAAGTCATGGGTTGTGAAAATTGTTTGACATCATTTTGGGAAGGTCTTGATGCAATGAATTCGGCACAATGCTCAGCATGCACGTTGGACAGAAAGAAGAAGTCATGATGGTTTTCAACAGTGGTCACCACCGTCTTTCGATTCGTCATTCTTGGATGTGCATATAAATGGGGCTGCTGAACAACTGAACTGCACGTTTAACGTGGTCAAACACAGCCATCTGTCAACTTTGGAGAGACCACAATTGCAATATTGTTTCACAATGCTTAAGGCATGGTATGCTCATTTGGTTGCTCTTCAACAGCACACACAGCACTCTATCTTCCCTCCTATGCTAGGCTTCGGCGGGATGTGCCGGTGGCGCGGTGGAGAATGGCTGGAAAAAAGCCTGTCCACCTGTGAACGAGCGCACAGGGAAAGAGGTGAAAGTGAGATGCACAGTTTTTCGATGTTTTTCGTGGATGATCGACGCTTCTCAGCCGCTTCTCTTTCGCTTCTATTTCTCTCTTTACGCTCGTGTAGAATCACATGGAAACATATGAACAGTGCGAGCATGTGCAAGCGCTTCTTCAAGGACTATCCTGCATCCTGCCTAGAAGCTTATCTCCTAAGGGGGCGTAAACAGAACCAAAAAACAATGGCCAAAGTCAACTACTCAGTGGTGACAGTGAAAGACCTTTCTAGGCCCGTGTGTGGCGTAGGATCCAGCCATTTGTGAACTACCTTTACATGGTGAGTTGATGGAGTATGTTTTTTCGTTCCGGTCGAAGAGTGAAATGGGTCTGGAGAAGCAGAAAGCTACCTCCAACCTAGAAGCGATGGCCTCCGACCTACTAGCGATGGCCTATCCAACGGGAGAATGCAACGGTTTGGGCTGCTCTTGTGTCAGACACCGTGTCACACTGGTGCTCTTGCTCCTGTGGCTTCTGCGCCTGACTGACTCCATTGTGGCTGGCTCGAAGCAGCCTCGCACAATCTCAGAACGTGTGGGACGTGTGGGTGTTCACATCCTTCCATCGTGTCGCCGAAATCGGAAAGAAGGCTTCTTGCGTCAAAAGGTCCATCGGCGAGGCGAACGTGGTGGAGAAAAAACACCACCATCCTTTGATGAAAGCCATGCGGAAAATGGTACCAAACAAGAGATTTCGAAAAACACATGGGATGCTTTGGTGTGAACAAAGCCTTCCTTGTTTGCGTCGACTCTGTTTTGGAGTGCAGGGTCTTCAAGCTCAGTGGCTCAACACTCCTACAAAGTCAAAATGTCGAACTCCAAGTTACAAGATACAACCGGTACAACCAGGCTGCACTAAAGAAGCCTACCATGTGGCCAGCTTAGCCACCTGAGGAAAGAACAAGATCTTTCATGAATGCCTTGGATCAGGCATAACTGCTGAGAAGTAAACTCCTCCTCACATCCATGTGGTCAAAAGCTGCAGGTGAAGAAGCGACTTCCGTGCCTGAGGGTAATAGGCCTGGCGCATGTCCAAGGGACCTGCGGGGTGCACGGTGAAATACGGCGCAGGTTCAACGGCACGAAGTGCGCGTGTCCTGCACCGCAATAAAGCTGCACCCTACTGGACTCTCTCGAAGGCTAGACTTAACTGAAGCTGGCCATGTGAACTCCAACAGGATCCCACTAGGCCCGTGGATTTGAAGTGTTGAGATCTCGAGGTCCCGGGAAACTGCATTGTGCTCGAGTCGCACCTACCGCGATCTGAAGGATTACCTACTAACGGCCTCCAACGAAGCATGGGCTTTGAGGGGGCACCACATCTATTTGCACCTCTGGAAATGAGTATGCTAAGCTGCTATGTATGCTTTTCGCGTGAACTCTACGCGTTTCCTGCCTTTTCCACTTATTCCAAAGCACCTTTTCCGTTGTCCACACCGAACCACCGAAGCTTGGCTTCCGGTTCGTCGGGCTGGTCTGTCTTCTCCGTCACTCGTATGCCGTGGGCCAGAACGAAACCACTTCGGAGAAACCACTTCTGAGGCGAACATCATAGGTGCGAAGGCCATGTTTCTCAACCGTCCTCTGCAAGAGCCCTACTTTCTCCCGCTATATCTTGCTTGTACAGCTAATGGATAGTCTTGGACTGTTGGCGAAGATCTGATAGAATTCTAGATTCTTGAATTCTCAAGCAATCGATATTTCACACCAAAAAAGGTTGACATCCTCAACATCTTGGAACCTCAAATCACACACACATCCACACACTGTAAAGCAAGTCTCTCCTAAAAAGCAATCTTTTTGAGCAAACAAAAACATGTTTGCAAACGCGTAGCAGTTTGCTTGGTATCCTTGCGTCTGGCCCACGAAAAAGACATGCCCCGGGGGTAAACGACCCTTTGGGGCTCCGCTGACGGCTGAAACCACCAGGAAGAGCTTGCTCTTGGGCAAAACAGTGGGGAGATGGACAATGATACGGCCTCCAACCTAGTAGCTTCTTGCTACTAGTAGTAAGGCCAGGAGCTACTAGTAGCGTTCTTGTTACTACTGGCGATGCCCTTGTTACTAGTAGCTTCTTGCTACTAGTAATGGCCTCCAACCTAGCGGTGGACTGTATGGATCAACACCTGCCTTGAACAAAGTTCTGAGAACTCAAAGCCGCAACCACTCGTGGCTCCTCCACTATTTTGGGGACTGGGAATGCTCGCAAAGCCCACAAACGAAGTCCATATTCGGGTGGACTGTGCTTCTCCTGACTTTGTTAACTAAAAAACTTGTTTTCCTGATGGCTGCCTCACCGTCTCTCGTGCGGTCACTCTCACTGCGTAGCTGTTCTCGTGGGTGAGTTTCCCTTCGATCAGCATCGGGCCAGGAAAAGAGCAACTCGCATGTTAGAGTATGTACTCATACTGCTCACATCGAACTCACACATGTCTGACTGTCCGGGAAAGATTCATGTTGGGAGTGTGTGGGGTTTGGTCCATTTCACACAAATTGGCCAACTCTGAAACCTTGCTATCCAATGAAGAACCAGATTCGTTCGACACAAATCGAGTACCCTCCATTGTTTCAATCATGGAAGTGGATGGCATGGCCCCTGGAAAGACCATGACATCCTGTGCAAGCAAGAGATTATTCACTTCCATGATTGTTTCCAGTCTATGGTGGTTTCGTAGATGGCACAATCCCCAAGTAGGAAGGTTTATATGGGGATTGTACGCCATCGCTTCTAGGTTGGAGGCCATCGCTAGTGGTTGGAGGCCATCGCTTCTAGGTTGGAGGCCATCGCTAGTAGGTTGAAGATCGCTTCTAGGTTGGGGGCCATCGCTTCTAGGTTGGAGGCCATCGCTTCTAGGTTGGAGGCCATCGCTTCTAGGTTGGAGGCCCTCGGTAGTAGGTTGGAGGCCATCAAGCTTCAACATAGATCAATTCGACTTGAGCAGCTTATATACATAAATACAATATTGTTTCTTATTTGATAAATGTCTTAAAACTTAAGTCTAAGAACTTCTATTCTAGTTACAACTTGATTCCTGCGAGTGGATCTTAATCAGCGAAGTTTGAAGCTATCACTGACGGTCCATAAGCGGCGTAGCGTCGGAACGGAAACCGCACCTTTTCTAGTCGCTTGATCCTTGAGCCAAAGTACATATGGTACATATATATGTACAAGTTGCACTGTACGTGTCGCTGCACTTCCATTCGCACCCCCCATGTGAACGGCAACAATATGTTCCGATCACACACGAAAATTTAGGGATGTAAGTGCTACAAAAGAAATTGTATGATTTGCCGCGAGACTCATATGAGGCTCATACTACGAAACATGCTGGACTAAAGCGGACTTTTACATATAAAGTGTGCAACTATGGCTCAGGACCTATGAAAAAAATCGAATTGAACCAGTGAGACAGTCACGAGGCCTCGCTCAGTATCCACTCAAAAGAGCATCGCTTTGATGTAGATCCGAACTGGTGACTTCCACGTAGATGTCACATCGGCAACTGACTTCACACTTCTCAAAAGATGTAGGTTTTGGTTTGGATACACTTACAGAACGGCAAGTCGGAGAGACAGTCGGTGACTGTCTACCTTCCATTATGCTCATGGTATCAAATCGTCAATCCGATGATTTGCAATGATACACTTACAGCGTTTCAGATCAGATAGACATCCGGTGAATGACTTCCTCCCTGGTTTGCATGGTATCCTCATAGTCGTTCAAAGAAATCACCACTGGCGATAACCTCTCCATCCACGATGATCCCAGCTGCCCTGAGCATCCCGCCGATCATCTTCTCCCTTCTTGGACTTTCCCTTGGACTTGCTCTTTCCCTTCCCCTTTTCAGAAGGTTGAGGTACTTCGCGACGTTCTTGCGTTAGCGCCGGCCTCCAAGATGTTTCAGATTGGCCTCCTCCTTTGGAATGTCCTCGGGATGATGAAGAAGTTGTACCTTCTGCTGCATGTGCGTTGGCGGCAAGATCTTCCTGCAAAGCTTGCTCAAACACATCGGTAGCACTGGATGGTGATTTATCATGTGGTCTGGCTTTTGGAGCAGCCTTCGCCTTGTTCTCCTCTGCTGATGAGGGCCCGAAACTCTTAGGTGCTGTTGAAGGTTTTGGCTCCTCACTTGGTGCTGACGACGGCTTGGCCTCGGTTCTGGGTGTAGATGCTGGCTTTGCCTCAGCTCTTGACGAAGATGCTGCTTTCGCTTCAGACTTAGTCGTTGATGTTGACTTAGCTGTTGCCTTGGCTGCCTGCTTCTTCTTGCCCTGAATCTCCTTGGCCCTATCTCCAAAGCCTAGACGATTGGTAAGAGCTTGAACATGCTTATGTTCTACCACGCTCATCCATCTCTCTGTATGTCCAACGTTGGGGTTTCTGGCCATTGACTCTATGACTTCCTGAGCTTGTGGGGGCAACCTGATCTCATGTTGATCAATGATCAACAGAATAGACTTCTCCCACTTGCTCTTCATTCTCGAGTACATGATGTCCAGAGGAT